AGACTGCAATTTACTATAGAGATTGGTAAACAACTTAACTTCTTAGATACCATCCTTTATGTCAAAAATGATACTATCATGTTTGATTGGTACCACAAACTAACATTTTCTAGGAGATACTTGAATTTCGCGTCCCAGCATTCCATTTCACAGAAGAGTTATAGGCAGTTATGGTCGATAGGATTTTTTATCTTTCTCATCCAATCTTTCACATGAGAAATTTCGAATTCATGATAAAAACACTCTTAAAGAATGATCTTTGAATTTCATCTTTGAAACGATTAACAAAAGAATTAGATTTTTAATCTACAATCATATGAAATATAAATCTAACGTTGAAGACACTTTATGCATTGAACAGAAAAGATCTTCGTAGTTCACTCTTCCTTATGTTAAAAATGTCACCGAAAAATTTAAGAACATCCTGAAAGAAACGAATAAAAAATTAGCCTTCTTTAGTTTTAATAAATTAAATAAATTAATTAGAGTACACAAAGATCCCGTCCTACTGTTAAACAAAAAAAATGTTGTCTACAAAATAAATTGCATACAATGTAATGCATCAAATGTTGGACAAACGGACAAACAATTAAAAACTAGGGTTAGTGAACACCGGAGACACATTAGATGGAACACGTCCACACATTCTGTTATTACTGATCACAGGATAAGTCAAAAGCATGATTTCGATGGAAAAATGTGAGAGTTTTGGATATTGGACAGAAAAAAATTTTATAAAACACTAATTTCAGAGATGGTGCATATTAAACAACAAACTAAGGCATAAATTTGCAAACAGACACAGAGTTCCTTAGTCTCGCATATCCTCCTATGCTTAATAATATAAAAACATAATCTGTATCTCTTTTCATAACAACTCGACTTTCAATTCTTACTTTCTGTTATTTAATTTTATTACCAGTCAGTCATTGCATGAGTCTCTCTCGGTTTACTCCACGGTATCGCCCCACTTTTTTAAAAAAAATTTTTATTTGAAAAAATATTTACGGACTAATTACTTTTTATACTATTGATTGTTATAATTTTGACCACGAGAGATACTTCGTTATTAACCATGCATTATGATGGCCACTAATCATTTGCTTGTCTTTATTTAAAAGTCATCCAGTTCTGGACGATATCTTCGGGGTGAGTGTTTTCAGCAGTTTTGTTTTTTTTTCTCTTTTTTGACTGTTTTTTCTATGAAACTATATTTTAACTTTTAACTTCACTAACAATTTTCCTTTTATAAATATTTTCACATAGCGTCTCCAATATCAGTTTTGGAACTGTTGTAACAAGGTCTCTCGAAATATCGTCCTTCCTCCATGGCGGTTACATTCTTTAAGATTCATCATGTACGCTCCAATCATGTAACATCGATTACGGTAATTATATGTACGATACTTACTGAAGATGACCCGAAAGAAAGTCGAAACGTTTGGAAACGACTTCTGATTAAAGACGTGTACAAAAATTATTTTGCACTCTATTTTCTGTTCTCGACTCTTATAGCCCTTATTATCTTATCTTGTTTTTAAAACTATTACCACATGGGGGTTAGAATAGAAAGATTCTTCAATGAAGATACAGAGATATGTATCACTTTGATTCTATTTTTTTTAAATGAAAGATATTGTTAACTAGATTCTATTTTTTAATTAGGTACAACAATTTCTTTTTTTTTTCAAGCGTTATACTTGACACTCTTTTTTACCTTTTTTAGAAAGGTAATTTTATAATGATAAACAAATGCATTAAAAGGAAAATGACTTATTGTAAACCAAACAGTCGTGACTCTTCAGACAGAAAACATCTTCATTTTTTCGCAAGATTTATTTTCGTAAGTATATGTATTATAAGATTCATTCTTAATTAAAGTTTAATTAAAGTTTATTAAAATCTCGTTATACAATTTTGTAGTGTCACCAAAAACGAAGCAAAATTTGTACACGAAGTACAATTTGTACATGTTAGCAAACATCTTAAAAGACTTCTTCAAGCACTTTATAATAGTTGTGTGATATTGAATTAATACCAACACAAAGACATTGCCCAAAGCATAAACATTATATCGACTCTGATCGAATCGAAAAATATTTGTAGTATTTTTCTATGTCAAAAAAAGGCAAATACAATTAATAATATAGTTGCAAATACAATCAATAATACAGTCATAGTAATACAGAAAATATTTAATTTGAAAGATACCACACTTCTCTTGCAACTTGTATGATAATTATATATTGCTTTTCCGTGAATATGAAATATATTGCTATTCCGTGAACATCGAACAAATGATTCGTGAAAGCAGCATCATTACTGACTATACAAACATCTCGTGAAACTGTTGCAGATCGAATATCTTACTGCAGAGAAGTTTGCATACTTGCATTAGGAACAGAATTCGAACATGAAAAATTAATTGGCGGGCCAAACAAAATAGTAAAGATCGACAAGTGTAAAATAGGTCATCGCAAATATCACAAAGAAGGTATCGTAGAAGGTTTCTGGATTCTCGAAATGATTTATCACGGACATTCAATCAATTATCTAGAAATTTGTCCAGAAAACAAAAGAGAAATTACGAAAATACTTTAATTACATTAATAAAAAAAAAAAATACGTAACACTGGCACTGAAATACATATTCTGAAATACAGATTCTTGGAAAGGTTACATTAATCTCAAGAATCATGGATACATTCATAAAACAGTGAATCATTCTAAAGAATTTGTTGATTCTGAAACTGACGCACACAATCAAAGTATCAAATTATCTTGGCGCCTTGATGCGCCGCCAATTATCTCGTGGTGGTGTGCATTCAGCTCAATTATCCGATCTATGTGCGAATTTATGTGTCGCATACGCAAATTAAACATAAATCCATTCAATCAAATGTTAAAAGATATTAAAACATTTTACCTACAATTAATTAATGTTAAATTAGAAATAAGCAAAATATTACTAACAATAAGTTTAATAATTAATTAAATAAATATTACGTTTATTAGAGATCTACGAGTATTATTTAAACTCTCCCTCGCCTACATGTCTATTATTTATACATCTATTAACAATTAGTACCAGATAATATTAGTATAAACCGTTATATGTTTCGAAATTTTTTTATTAATAACTTTGTAATAAATAATGAGCGACTAAAATCTCTTTAGGATTATTCAAAATCATGACCTTGATAACATATCATTAAGATTATAGTATTAGTCTTCATTATTGTAAGTTTTATTTAACATTTTTACTATTTCACCATAAAAAATATTCCCGTGCTAGTCGCCAAAAATTCTTTTAGAGGCTTTTCTAAAAGAAAAGTTTCCATAAAATTTCATCGAAATTGGAGGTATGTCGTTTTCGGAATATTATTCTCAATTTTTAATTTAATTTAAACTAAAGAATAATATGAAAAAGATAACTTCTTCCTACTGCATATTCAAAAATTAAATAATGATGGCTTCAAGTTGGTCTTTTTTATTTGTAATATAAATTGATAAGGAGGTGGCAAAAACTACAAAATACGAAATAAAATAAGTCATAACTTATTCAAAGGGGAAAAGTATTGTGGCGATCTTATTTCCTTTTTTAAAAAAATATCGATGATATAAAATTTTTTAATTTTTACAAAATCAGTTAATCTTGACAATACTAAAAAGAAAAAAGCACATGTATTTTCCTTTTCTATGTTATCATTACTTGATTTCGGAAAATGAGTTAGTAGCCCCTTGCTGTAATTGTTGCTTTGTAATTAATTGTTTATGATGTCATTCGTAAATCAGTCAAATGACATTTTGTTAGAACTTTTGTAGATGGTACATACTCTCCATCTTGAGATATTGAAACTTTCTTCTGATCTATATTTAGTTATTATGTTTTCTCGTTAGATACAAAATATTTGATTTTCTCCACATTGTATATTTTCCCACATTTGTATATTTTTTATAAATATATTTATAAAAGTTTTAAATAACTTTCAACCTTTTCGCAGAATCTACAAATTTTTGAAATTGATTGGCATGAATCAAATTAAATTTTAATAATATATTTGTAACAAGATTCAAATAAATGAACATATTAGTATATTCAATAAAAAATAAATAGAGATCAAAGGAGTTAGACAAGATTTTTAGCACTTTAACATTTATTTTTTAAATTTTGGAGTTTATTAAATAATTCAAGAAACATTTTTATTTTTATTGCTCTAACTAATCTAAACGTTTACGTTTTTGAAACATAACAATTAAGAGTTATATCTTCCCCTTATCAATTTGATAATATTAATTAAATCTTTGCAAGAAATTTTTATAGCAAAAATATTTAGCTAGGATTGAAATCTCACTCTATTATCCGAGATTTTAATCAGAGTCCATAAAATCAATCTGTCAACTACTGAAGCATGTGATAATATTTATCGCAATAACCGAATAATTATATAATTTCTTCGTTCAATTTTGTTAATGTGGGGGAGGGGGGGCAACTAGGCATACGTAATAAAAGAACGTCTTTATTAGTCAACGTATAGACTAAATAAATAAATTTAATATTACTACAATACGTCTTTTTGTAATAATTATAAAGTAAATATTTACTTCGAAATATCCGTTAAATCTTTTTTTGGCACATCGGATTTTGCGAATAAGATATGTTCTAGAAATGGAACAATAGAATCTACATTTGATTCTTCCATTGTTATAATAAATAAATAAATATATAATATACAAAAAACATAAAGATTTTTTTTACAAATCAATATTTGCAAGAACACTAATTATAACAAACTTGAGATCCCAACTAAAAGCAATATTCGATATAATGTACAAATATTTTCAATATTCAACTTCGAAACAATATATAACTAAATACCAATACTATATTATGACTTTTATTGGCTATTCTTAGTGCTTTTATATTAATTTTACCTACACTGTTATACAGCAATGTTCAAATTTTATAATAAATAATTTAAAATAAAAAAGAATCTTGTCTTTTATTACATATTATATGACAAATATTATATATAACAATTTGTAATGACACTCATTATTAGCATTTTTGCTTAAAAAAATAATTACTTATCATAAAATATAACGGTTGGTTATATTTGACTTTAAGAATACTCGAACTCTTCGGCAGATAATGAAATATAATCGTGTTCTTTCTTCCGCTCGGCCACTCTGCTATATTGTTTACATGATCAAAATTCTTACAACATAGAATTTGTAATAGGAGATTATCAAATTTCAAATTTAATTGCATATTTTCCAAAAACTAACTAATTCACGCAAATTATTCATACTTTAATATATCAAATCTTCCCTCTTTGAATAACTCATTTTATTTAATATTTTATAGTTTTTGCTGTGTCTTTGTGTAAGTGCATTTAGTATCAGCATATTCATATAATATTATATAATATCATAAAGAAAAATTTCCTTACCTTATGATCATATAACGAATATGAATTACATAGTAGCACAAAAAAATGTTAAAAATATAGAAATTAAGAATACATTTGGAAATGTATCAATATAGTACTAGAAATGTGTAGTGTTGGATGTGGATGTGGACATGGATGTTCAATACATGTTTGTCAATATATTTTGAAACGCATCATAAAAGAATGTTAAGAATGGATGTTTGTCTGTAATTATTATATTACCTTTGATCGTCGTTAACTAAGCTAAGCATTATTCTTTATGCTTAGCTGAAGTGGTCGCCAGCGATTATTCTATCTAAGATATAAGAAAGAAAACAGACTGAGATAAGTGCATATGGCCGCTGCATGTGATCGCAAAACATGATCTACTTTCTGCACAAAGAAGTGTTTTTTTGGAAAATTATCACACATAAGAGAAAAAGGAAACTAGTCAGAGATAATTCCCCTGTTGGTATTTTTCTTTTTTATGTTGTGCTTTCAAATATTTTTGAATTAGCAATTCTTTCTCTCTTCAGAAAAATTTTTTTATCTTTCAGAAATTCCATGTATTCGTTATAGTTAATTTGTTTAATTTGTTGAATTATAGAGTAATATTAACAATTTAATTTTAGATTTATTTTAAATATTTATTTGTCTACATTATGTGTTGTTGTCTTTATATCTAATAATTATAATAAATATTATGACAAATGATTATCAATGTCTTTTATCGATTCTACTTCGAAACATTTTTGATCTTAAAAAAAACTTGAGTTTAAATTTGATTTTTATGGCACAAATTTCAACATCTATTGCAAAGCTTCGTTGTTGCTCATACCAGCAAAATGGGAAATATCTCAAAGATAGTTATACATTATTCTACGAAGTGCCTTTGTAGTGAATGAAGAAAAAAGTGAGGAACATGAAATAGGCGATTGGAAAAGTGATCCTTGCTATCACGTCGATCGTCTTCGCTACCCTAATCGGATGCGGCGGATCCTTTTTTCTTAACTGCAAGAAGAAAAGTCTTTTTATTGTGACCAAGGTTTGAAAAATCTAAATCTAAGGCTTTTAAAATTTTTATTGATCGATCATGTGTAACATTAATAAGAATCAATAATAAGCAAAAGAGGGCAAAGAATTGCCATATATTAGATTTTTTGTAATATAAAAGAGAATAAAATTATTATTTATATTCTTATTTATAATGTTATTTATTCTTATAAAGTTCAATTTTCTAAATTAACGAAAGATTTGTGTATGTAATAACATTTAATATATTTAATATTTATTGTATATATTTTAAATTACATTTAAAATTAATAATTAAGTTTACTATACAAAGTTATATATGTACAATGTTGTATTTTTTAGTAAAGAAAAATAAGCAATAACATTTTTATATAATTGATTATTATATACTTGTATATATATATAATAAATTTGCTTACCTCGGCGGTGCAACCATTCGTTGCAGTGTGCGTGCAGGGATTAGGTCCGCAGTTGGTACAAGTGACAATCTCGTTCGGTCCAGTGCCACCGGTAGTAGTTCCGCCTTCTCGCTTCTTTTTACCCTACGACAGGGTCTCCGTAAAAGAAACTTATAACACTTATAATTCTCAATTATAATATGTCGTTTTTAAACAACGATCCACTCTTTAGATTTATCCTCATTCTTTTTTAAGCTCTTCTCTCTTGCAAAACTTTTTTTTAATTTTTCATGCAAGCATCGACAGTTTTTAATCTTTAATTTTTTACACTTTCTATTATATATTTATTGATATCTTCATTATTTTTACAGGAATAAACAACTAATGCGAATAAATCAATCATCGTTAATATTAGGTGTACAAAAAAGTTCTGAGCTTTTTTTTGTAAAATTCAATCTTTATTCAAAAACAAACCAAAAAATATTAATCAGCGAAATATTCCCCGTTTGCATCAACGACTTTTTGCCATCTTTCGGGTAGCTTGCGAATTCCTTGACGATAGAAGCTCATCGGCTTCGAAGCGATAAAATCAATCAATTATTTTCGTATCTCTTCAAATCTCACGAAATGTGTATCAGCCAAATGATGCTGCAGCGACCGGAATAGGTAGTAATCGGAAGGCGCCATGTCTGGGCTATACGCCGCGTGCGGAAGAAGTTCCCAGCCTAACGCAAAGATATGATCCTGAGTCGCTTTCGCAACATGTGGTCGAGCATTGTCATGAAGCAAGATCACTTTACGACATCCTTGGCCAGTAAATGGCCTTTTTTCTTCTAATGCATCGCTCAAATTGGTCAATTGTTGTTGGTAGCGGTCTGCCGTGATTGTTTCACCCGGTTGTAACAACTCGTAATACAACACACCTTTCCAATCCCATCAGATACAGAGCAAAACCTTCTTGGCGTGACTATTGGGATGTGGTGTCGATGTCGAAGGTTAACCAGAGTCCCCATGATTTTCTACGTTTAGGGTTATCATAAAGAATCCACTTTTCATCGCCTGTAATGATTTTGTACAGAAAATCTTTTTTCCGGAACTTTGAAAGCAAAGTGAGTGCAGTGTCACGCCGACGATTTTTGTTGTCTTCGGATAATTCATGCGGAACCCATCTGCCTTCTTTCTGAACCTGTCCCACCTGTCGTATGTAAACGTACGGAAATGGTTTGCTGTGTAACGCCAAGCTGTTCTGCAAGCTCCTTTTCAGTTTGCGCAGAGTTTGTATCCACCAGTGCTTGCAATTCGTCCATTTCAATCTTTTGAGGGTGTCCAGCACGCGGTTCATCTTCAAGACTAAAAACTCCTTGGCGAAATTTTTGATACCATCTTTTACATGTAGTATAACTTACAACGTTTTCTCCATATGCAGCACAAATCATTGCAGTGCTTCAGCAGCATTTTTCTTCAGATGAAACGCGAAGAGGATGGAAAATCGAATATGCTCTTTTGTTATTGCCATTGTGAACACTACTGATTTTTGAGGTTATGTGCATCAAACGTCAAACCGTATGACATTTTAGAAGACCAAATGTCAACGCTTTAAAACCGCAAAAGGGCGGGAAGATATATAAAATTTAAATTGTTATTTCGGTTGTATGAAATCTAAAGCTCAGAACTTTTTTGTACACCTAATACATTTGAGATTATTTTTTAAAAATGTATTATTTTAAAAAAAATGTTATATAAACAATGAGTCAATTCAACTCCATTATCAAAATATGAAAGCTGTATTGACATAAACCACAGATAATCAGAAACATTTAAGCTTCTTAACTTTTGCTTAACTGTTTACATGAAGTTACGCAAAATATTTAACACTGACATATTATTATTACATTAATATAAAGAACATGTATATAAATTCAAAATGAGTATCTCGTACTTCTATGCACGCAAATACACGTATTTTCATTAATCACATTTGTGCAATATTGACAAGATTATTGCTAACAACAATTGATGCTTTTTATTAATTACTTGTGAGTATCAGGCTTCGAAATTTGTCAATTTATTCGTGGAACATACTGTATACGGGAAATGTAGCTCGAATGAATAATAAACAAAACGTTAGGAATAGAAATATTACTGTGTCTGATGCATCATTGAGTTATTATAGAGTAACCTATTTTTTAACTCTCGCTTCTATAATTAGAGAAAAATCCGTCTTCTAAAAACATACATAAATAAATAATCGGCTTCTTATAAATGTATTAACAGCATAGCATAGTAAGCTTTTGGTTTTGATAAAAGAAAACAATTAAGCTCGTAAAGGCATATAATATCTTCGAAAAAGTAGTAGCAGAAATATGAATAAAGTATCATTTGCGTGTTATAAACAGATGTAAAGTATGTGATATTTAATATTAATTTAAAATGTTACTGACAATTGTTCTAAAATAATATCAAGCAACTTCAATTATCATTTGAACAAGTAGAGAAATAGCTGATAAAAATAGTGAACATTTTAGATCAAATACAAAAAAGCATATTTGTTTTACTTTTAATACACATTAAATACAATTGTAATCTTTATTATATCAAAGAATCTGTCATGAATGTTACAATTATATGATATGATGTATACTACGCGACAATGATTCACGTGAGCTCGCCGGTCCCGCCGAAGCTCTAACTTATCGGTCTGATTTATTCAGGTAAGGTTGATAACATCGATAATATTGAACGCGCACGAGTGCTTCGAAAAGGTGTATCTCGAAAGGAACACATGTAGTAATAAAGAATAATAAAAATAATTAATCTTTTATTTATTTCATTTTTCTTTTTTTTAATTTAGAAATGCGTGAATTATATCTCCGTCGTGTTACAGATATGCATCTTTATATTTATCTGTATAAATGTATAATTTGTAATATGTATGTTTTGAATTATATATTTATCCAAATAGATATAAAAGACAATAGACTAATAAATAACTAAATAATGTATAAGGAGATAGAAATTAAGATAATTAGGTAATTGATTAAAATTAATACACATTAATACACATAACAAGTTTCTCAAAGATATTCTTTTTATTGAAAATGAAATTATGTGAATGAAAATGTTCCTTTGTCAAAAATTTTGATGGTTCTAAAAAGAACCGTTTAAAGAGTATTGAATATCTTACTGAAAAATTCAATAATCTGTCCAGTATCCTTCTCGTGCAACTACTTGCTATAATCTTTTCTCCAATGGGCCGCTTTTCGAAATTTTCGAAAAATTGCGATTTACGCTGTAAGCCCATATATTTCTCGCATGTGTAACCAGATTTTGTTTAATTTTTTCATGACCACAATCCCATAAATTCGCAATTATTCCTCAAATATTTTCAATTAAATTGAGATCTGGAGATTTGGATGGCCAATTCAAAACTTTAATCTCTGGATGTTGAGCGAACCATTCTTTAACAATGTTAGATGTATGTATAGCTATTATCCTGTACTAATCGAAATGTTGGCATATCTTCTTCCATGTATATTCTTCGAACGTTGGAGAGTAATACGCTCTCCAGAATATTCACATATTCGAAGACATCCATATGCGGTGATACTTCAATTAGTTTTCCAGGACAATGTGCTCTTATTCATCTCCACATAGCACAAGTAATGCGCTGACTTCGCTCATGAGGAACTACATATTTTTTATCAAAGCGATAGTTGCCTCCACACATGTAGACGTCGATTATGCCCCGAACAAAATACTTTTTCATCCGTCCAAATAGTTTGATCCTAATCTTTCGGTTAAGTTGTGTTTAATTGATGCAGTGCAAAAACGACACAATTATCGCGATGTTCGCTCGTTAGAGCAATTTTATGTGCAGCATGATAATAATGTCCGCTTCGTGTAAACATCTTTACGCTGTTCTACTAGATATCTGTAAATCTAATTGTTTTACAGAATGTGATACCGGAAGAAAAAGATTCAAATCTACTTGACTCACAAGAAGTCTATTTTCTTCGGCGGTCGTAGATCGTTGGCTACGATTGTGTTCCTGCTTATTCTTTAAGCCCTCCGCTTCCTCTTCTTGCCATCGCTTGATTCACTTCAACACATTTGTTTCACTGCACGGAATACGAAATGCAATATCTTGTACAGCTACTCCCACATCCCAATAATGCGGATGAACAAGATCTAAATTATCTGCCATAGTTGCACGACACAAGAGAGATTGAAACCAATGAATTGCCGATTACATTTTGTTTCTTATCTGTAGTAACATTAGTGTCGTGCAATTATGGTAGGCAATCTTTAAGGCGTCAACCACAATTTTTTGAAAATTTGAACGATCTATTGGAAAGATGATAACAATAATTGCATACAAGATCGATTATTCGGATGCGCATAATTTTATTTCTAATAAAAGAATATCTTTGAGAAACTTGTTATGTGTATTAATTTTAATAAAATACCTAATTTTCTTAATTTCCATCTCCTTATATTTATCTCTTATATATATCTCCTTATATTATTTAACTATTTATCAGTCTGTCATCTTTTATATCTATTTGGATAAATGTATAATTCAAAACGCACATATTACAAATTATACATTTAAACAGATAAATATAAAGATGCATACGACCTGTAACACAACGAAGATATAATTCGCGCATTTCTAAATTAAAAAAAGAAAAAAAATGAAACAAATAAAGAATTAATTATTATTCTTTCTTTTATTATTTTTATTATTTTTATTATTTTATTATTCTTTCTTCATTCATTTGCATGTGTTCCTTCCGATGTGCATCTTTTCGAAGTGCGCGCGCGCGTTCAGCATTATCGACGTTATTGACCCTGTCTGAGTAAATCAGGCCGTTAGAGCTCCGGTGGGACCACGCGAAACATTGTCGCGTAGTATACAAGCAGTGCAATGATTCGGGAGTACGCATAGTAGCGCGTAACATTACATTGACGACATTGAATAACCGCGTGTGCACGAATTTTATTAGAACATCAGCAATTATAAAAATAATAGGTAATTTTCTTTAAGGGTTCTATTCTTTTTCTTTTCAATAAAATTTAAATATTTAAAATTTAAATATTTTTATTATTATTTATTCTTTATTTAAAAATGTACA